TCTGCCAATGAAAATTGGCATTCTGAAATTTCAATTATTGCATTTTTAAACTCAGAGTATGGAAGTTATGGCATACCCGTGGAAGTTATGGCATACCTGTGGAAGTTATGGCATACCCGTGGAAGTTATGGCATACCCGTGGAAGTTATGGCATACCTGTGGAAGTTATGGCATACCTGTGGAAATTATGGCATGTCTGTGGAAATTATGGAATGTTTACAAAAAAAAAAAAAAATTTTTTTAATAGTAATAATAACAATAAATTTTAGTTTAGTAATTAATAGATAAAGCAAAAATTAATATATTTATTAATCGCTATTATTTATAGTAAAATTACAGTTTTTATATGATATTTTCTTAATTACAGTTTTTCTGTTATCATAATTATTAGTAGAATCAAGAAATTTGGGTCTTTTGAATGGTTTATTCGAGTAATGTTTATCAATCTTATTGATACCCTAAGAGCAAATAATTTTCAAAATATGGAACAATGTGAGCATTTTTTGTGTTTGTGGTATAATGCATTAATAATAATAATAATAAAATACTTACTCCCATCCTTTTGCTACAATTTGAATTGAAATTATCAATAAGTTTATCATTTAATTTGTTAATTATCTCAGAATTTAAATCCATAGATGCACCTTCAATTACTTGAGTAATTTCGCTTGTAGAATCATCATTTTCTTTTGGCAATTCATAAGAATCTTCTAAATCAATAATTGTGTTCTTGTTATTAACAGCTTGATTGTTTATTTCATTGATATCAGTTGACTTGTTAGTATCTAATGCTAAATCTATTAATGATTTTATATTTAATGATTTTTGATTCAAAGTTGGTTTTATATATACTGATAATGCTTTCAATGATTTGTGTCCAGAAATATCCATAATTTGTTTTTCAGTTAGTCCACTCTGAAACAGCCATGTCAAACAGGTACTACGTCCTGAATGATTAACTATTTTCCGATCTTGAATGTCAATTCCAGCATCAATACATATAGTTTTTAGATATGATTTGATCTTCTCACTTCCCATCCTATGGTCAAGGTACCAATTATTTGTAATTATAGCTTTAAATAAACAAATATTAATTATATCAGTAAATATTTATAAAGTTTTTACATAAATAAATAAATAATTACATGTTCAATAAATAAAATACCTGAATTGGAGGTATTGACTTGCAAATAAAATTCTTTAGTCTTACATTTTTCTGGCCTCTTGCTAATATATAAATTGAAATCATAAAATGGTCCCAAAATACCAGGTTCATCACATGGACATGGAATTTCGAGACAATCAGAGCTTCCTAATAATCCACCTTGATCATTTTTCTGATGAAATTTTGTAAAAATTAACATATTGTTTCTAAATTGGTATTGATCAATTTTTATTAAGGAGTGTTCTCCCCCGCGGGGGCAAAACAAAATACAATTCCATACAAATATACGTCTCACAAGACCTTCAGCTGTATCACGGGAAGTTGAACAATGATTAAGTATTTGTTTGATTTCATCAGTTGATAATGATTCAGCAGAATTTTTTTTAATCAAGCCTTTTCTCTTCATATCTCTTAATTTACCTTCAACAGTTTTGTATAATTGTGGGAACTTATGTTTACATTGTTCACCTGTTAAAGCAATATCCCTACCTATAACACTATTTTCTTTTAAATGTCTATCTAATGCAGCCATCGCATTTTTCCAACTTATATATTCAGATCCATCTTGTTTACGAACACCAACTACAAACTGGCAAAGTTCTTTTTCAAGTTGATCTTTGTTTTGAATTTCTTCTATTGGAGTTGTAAATTCATGATTTGATCTATATTTATGTAAAACGTTTACCCAGAAAGTAGTATTTTTTTTTGTGGTTTCTGGAATTCCTGAAGATTGAATTTCTTTTATTTGTTCTAATGATGGTACAAAGGATTCTGTCATTTTAATATTTAAGATCGTAAAGAAGTCAATTTTTTAAAAAAAAAACAATAAGCGTAACTTCATTGGCAGACATACAATAAACTAGTTATTGCATGCATCGTCATGCAATAATCACGTCAATAAATTGACTAAAAAATCGGAGAATGAATTTAATCATTGGCTTGTGGCACTAACGTGCCACAAGCCAATAAAAGAATGTCATTCTGGATTTTCCATTATTGCATGCTCCGCATGCAATAACTACCATTAATAAAATATAAATATGATTAAAATTTAAGTTCTTACTTTATCCTTTTCATTACAAGCTCATTTTATTTCTGTCTCTTTTATTGATGGTTCTTTTGTCCTTTTCTCGTCATTTTCATTCTGTAAGAAGTTTTTGATGCAAATTATTAGTTTAAGTACTATAGATATTATAGTCATATATGATATATCAAATTATATAACTAATTACTTCAATGACTGAACTAGAGTTTTGAAAGTTGGTTTCACTAGTAACTTGAATGGTTTGATGTGCTCTAAAAACCTCTAAAATGTCTGGTGCATCAATTTGTGAGCTTACCTTGAATATAGACTACAACACAAAAAACTTTTAATAAAACATCAATATATAATTTGCAAGAATAACTTTTTCAAAATGATCACAAACCTTTTTATTCTGAAGTCTCTCTTGAGCGCTTTCATAAGTTTTATCAATTTTTAACTGCTTCCAGAACTTTGTAATAGTGCTAGATTGTTTCTTGAACAAACGAATGAAAAAAGAGTAGTTATTCCATATTATATTATACTGATGGTTTTTTTTAAAGTATTTTTAGTATTTATTTGCACAAAGAATGGCACCTCATCACCAGGAATCCTTGGAAGGGCGGCACTTCTATAGGATTGTCTGCAAGACAACAGAGGAATGGCACCCCCTTGAGCTGCACATGTACTAAAATAAAAAAAAGATTATACTATACTTGATTTACAAGTAATGTTGCAATCTGCCGAGCTGTCTGGTCTGTTTCTGCATTATTAATTGTGATTTTAAGTGCATTTATAAATCTTTTACGCCATATTGAGAATAGTTCATCTGTATCTTTCTTTTCTTTCATGATGAAAGGTTTCATTGTTTCTAAAAAATTATCAAATGACCATTTTGTAGGTGTGGTATTTTGGAAGTATTCTGACACAGAAATATCTAAAAAAGGTACAAAACATTGTTATTATAACTAAACTGTCTATAAAAAAATTAATCATCCCAAAAAATGCACATGAAACACGCAAACTTTCAATTTCTTTTAACTACAAAAATAAAGACAACGCTTACTAATTACATCCATAAAAGTAAGATTATCACTAGTGTTATTCGAATCCCTGGTAAAATTTGATGTTTTGTCAGTCATTTTAATGTTAATTAGAGTGACAACGAGCAGCGGTAGCCACCACCACCATCTTTATAATAAACACTTACCCGTGATCATCTGCTATTTCTTTTTCTTTACTTCTTTTCCTTGGCCTGTAGGACATTATTTTATTTTTAAAAAAAAAACGTGTATATAAACTAGAGTAATGACGAGCAGTGGGCAATAACCACCACCACCACCATCCTTAAAACACTTACCCATAAATATTTTCTGCCTCTTGATTTCTGCCTCTTTTTTTGTCCGCTCTACTACTACCAGGCATCTTGAACAAAAAAATATAAAAAAGTTTGTGAATGATCGACATGTACACATTAATTATTTATCCTATTGGTTTTTTTTTGGTAGGACAGACTAGTGATCACAATCATCATCATATTCATGAATATGATTGTGATAGGACCCCGAACAATCTTAGGAGATGGTACATTTCAATTTTGGGTAGAAATGGCCCTCAAAATCGAATATCATTTCTTAATTAGGATAAATTTTGTGATGATCTTGTAAATTATTTCCAAAAATGGTAATAAAGTGGGTATTTTTTCAAATGTACCATCTCCTAAGATTGTTCGGGGTCCTGGTCATAGTGGCATGGCAGTGGACTTTGAGTCCTGTGTCATTCAAGTCTTTGAGACAAGCCACAAAGCTAATGTTGGAGCACAGAAAATCTTTGAGATTGGCTGATGTTCAAGACTTTGAGTCGACCTGGTGGGATTTAAATCAGATCAAAAATGTCAAGTATATTACTAAGTTTTTTTTTCTACTAGGGTGTTTGACCTCATTGTCAGCTGGCATAAGATTAGGAATTACAAAAAGGTAAAGAGATTGCTAGCACCTCAATATACTTACAGAATTCAACATTTGAGGGCACTTATTTGGGAATTGGTATGGTCAATGGTGATACTTTTAATGTTGGATTACCAACATCAGTAAAAAGATATCAGAAAGAGGTATTAATAAATATTTTTTTAACTAGACATTATAGATAAATCTGTTGAACTAATTATTTTTTATTTTAATATCTTAGAATGATTATAATGGTTAAGATAAGAAGAGGCAATGTCAAATGAGAAGCAGGAGGAGTATACCGAATTATGAGAATTTTTTTGCAGAAACCTCCTCTCAAGAAGAATTAGACAAAGATAGGGTTTGTATTCATGAATATCATAAGGGAGTCACACAGGGTCACACACTATTAAAATCAAGTGATCAACTCATGTTTTTAAAGCTGTTTTAATAGTGTGTAACCCCTTAATGATATTCATGATATTTGTGAATAAAAACCCTAGACAAAGATGGCAATAATCTTGAAAGTCCCATTAAGAAACAAGAAGTGAAATGGGATTGGATGTTGATTTTTGTGAGAATCTTTCTCAAGAAAATAATGAAAGAAAACATATTCAAGACAGTGTGGTAAGTATTTAATAATTATTTAATAATACATTCTGTACAAAGGATTTTTGACACATTTGATTTTTTTTTTTTACTAGTTAACTGATATTTTAGGAAACATTATCGATTACTCAGATACTACAAAAGAAATTTTTTCAATTTATAAAAAACAAAATCCTCATGGCGATCTAATCAATCTTTGATTAAATTCACCCTTTTTCAAAAAACTTCCAAAATCAATAGTGAGATTACATCTTACAGAGATGGATAACACAACTGAATAAAGATGGCTCCTCAATTAGTTGCAAATAATTGCGGCATATAAAAATTGAATTGTGGTTGCAGTTGCGGCATATGAAAGTTGAATTGTGGCTAATTGTGGTTCCCATCTCTACAACTGAATCATTAATTCCCAAGAATGTACATGATTTTCTTGTATGTTTTTTTTTGAAAAAATTAACTGCCGAAGAATGGCATTGTGAAATAGATGATTTAAGATCTCCATAACAGAATGATCCCATGATGACAACAGTAGTATGAGTTATACATCGTACCTTGCCACAATTGTATGTTGGGTGTTAATTGATCTTTTTTTTTCAGATTCTGTTCTAAACAATTTTTTTTTCCTTTACATAGTATCAAGGCATTCTCGCTTGAGGATTAAAATCCTCTTTTAAACATTACAACCATTGAAGGGGCTCATCTTAATTCATTTGTTCATCCATGTTTCAATGCCTTTTTGTGGTATATAGCAAATATACATTATGAGTATGGTGAAATTACATTGAAAAAGCATGTTAATAAAAATCATGCCAATGGTGTGGGGTATATGATAGATGCCAACAAGCATCAGCTTATCTATGTAGAGGGCACAAGACCAACAGTAAAGGATGATAAGGAAATCACTGATCTGGAAAAAATAATGAATAATTTAAAGAATATGTTTGCAGAGATCGTAAAAGAAACTATTAAGAACAGAAGGCGCCTTCCTAAGACATTATATTTATTTGGCAGTCAAAGCTTCCAACTTTGAATACATTTATTTTATATTGATTATAGTGGTATGTATGTTCATTTATTGGAAAATTTTTATTATAAAAAAGGTACTGGTAATTTTGAACTAAACGTTAATCTAGGAGTGTATAGATTAAATGAGGTTGATAACACTAATCTTTCTTGAAAATTTTCCGAAATGAAAGATTTCATTTATTTTTATGAATGTGTAATGAAATGTGCGGTATGTATTAATATTGATTATTTGTTGTGACACACATTTAACTTCCTTTAATCTTACGTGTTATTTATGAATTTAGTTGTTGATTTGTAATGTTACTGAATCCTTTTGACACTGCAAGATCTGGACAGCAGGGTTGGCAAATGTGCAGTTCATTGATGGTCTATTGGTGGTCCATTGGGTCCATTAGTGTAACACTTTGACCATATTTAGTGTTTTATTAATTGCAATGGACCATCCAAAATCCATCTGTTCTCAATGGACCAGTCAATTTGCCAACCCTGCTGGACAGAGACCATCACGGCTTTCATATGTAGACGACCTATTTCAGTTGGATAAGTAAAATTTTAGTTATATCTTTAGTTCACGACAATGTTGGATTATGTTACTTTTTTTGGGTTATCTGTATATTCAAACAATGTCTTCCATTATTGAAAATTGCAAGATGAGATTAATTTTCACACAATCATGTTAAATAAAAAATGGCGAACTAAAAGGGCCTCACTTTATTGATATAAAAACATTACTGGAATGACAACATACAAATAAATAATTATACATCATGGTTATATGATGTAAATACAAATAAAAATATTCATTAATTTTGATCTAGAATTTCTTGTGCTACATGAGACAAATGATCATAATCATCATTATCTAAGCAATACTGTGCATATTCCCTGGAAACGTAATAAAGGGATTTATTGCAAGAAAACCTTCTTCTTTGGGATGATCTAAATTAACCACACAGTGTGCATATAGTTTGATAAATTGAAATTATTATTTATATATACTAAAGATACCATTAATATACGATACATGTGTACTTAATTGTCTTTTTAACTTCAGCAAGATTTACTTACCATATCTGTTTCTCCTATTCCTGCATTAATGATTGATCTTTGATTAGGTCTTGGATTAGGTGGTGTTGGAATGATGTTTCTAGAGGCATTAGAATTATTAATTCCCTAACCATAAGTTACAAATGACACAGTTCTTTTTGATGAACATCAAGAAATCAGTAAGGAATGAGGGAAAAGAAGATGGACAATTGAGCAAAACTTGGAACCAAAAGAAAAGAAATCATTAAAAAATATTAATGGAAAGTTTGTAAATTATGGGCTGGATCATTTGGTGATCAAAAGAGATAGGAATACAAAAGGGAATCAGCTAAAAGTTCATCTTTTACCAAGAGAAAAGAAAGGCGGACAAAAGAAAAGAAAAGAAGGGTCAGCTCTTACCAAGAGGATCTAAAGAAACAAATTTGAAATAAACCAGAATGATGAAAATATAACAATGTAACAATGTAATAATGTAACAATGTAACAAACAATAGAGAATTTCCAAGAAGGAGTACCCACCCATGGGAAATCTTCTTACCAAAGAAATATTACACAAGAGGTTGTTTGTAAAACGAAAATCAAGAAATAACTACAAAATAATAATAATAATAAAATAATCCATTCAAAAGGGCTGTAGTTTTCCCGGTCTTGACCAAATGTTACTCAGATTATATAAAAAACTATGTATTTGGAATTAAAGTTGGTGTTTGCAATTAAGAAATACAACTGGTTAAGAAAATTTAGAACATAAAAGCTGCAATAGAAGAGTCTGCAACTAGTTGAAACTTTGGATAACGAATCAGTTGCAGATACCAACTTTAATTTGAATTCGTATTCGTATTCGTATTTAAACTTGGATTCACATACTAACGCACCAATACCAAGGATATTAATATGTATGTTCAAAATTAATCGAAAAAAGTCTCAAAAAGGAAATTCAAACACCAAATCAAATATAATATTTATTTTTAATGAAATTAAAGCTATATCTCCAAACTTCGAATAAAAATTGTGATTTTGGGTTTTTGAATTAAATATTAGTATATACTAATGCACAGTATAAACTTTCGGAAAATTCACTTGGATTTAAGATTTACTTCTCTTTCATTATGTTAACTTTATTTGAAATTTCCCCACAACGTAAAAAATATAAAGAAAAACCACTATGTAAGATTTGGTGACAATACAAAGGTATAAATCGAAGGATCGAAGGCATTCATTCATTCACGGAAAAACACGCTCCCACTGAAAATTTAACAAAAAACTTTAAAATGACACCATGTTATTGTATTGTGATGATTTTAATTGAGCGAGTTTTGATTATAATTGATATGAAATAATAAGTTTATCACTTTATGAAAATTTTAATCAAAACATAAAATAAACAAGACAACAAATAGTAAATAAATTCGAAAAATATTACTTTATGAACCGTTAATTTTTAAAATTACCATTATCATCAATATATTATTATCTCGTCTTTCACAATTCAAAATGCAAATTAATCACAGTTGCACTTACTGCACACATATACATAATCACCGTTATCGCTGTCATCACCATTAATGTCTTCAATAATAACAGTAATAATGATATTATTATTATTAATTGTTCAACACGATATTTCAATATATAGTCACATCATTCTCGACTGGAGTTGGCACCTGCAATGTAGAAGAAATGGAGATCATGAAACCGGCAAATCAAGAGATTTCAGGTAAATGAGAATACACAATAAAGGTAAATGCTGTGGCAGCAGTAGGAAGGAATAATAGTAATAATAATAACTACGAAACATCAATTAATGGACCAAAGGATTCATTAGAAGGCCTATTATTGATTTATACATTGAATTCAAAAAGTAATGAAAGCACTAGAAATTTTGATGATGCTGGCGCATTGACACATATTAATATGAATAAGGTAATTAAAAATACATTATTAAGATTTTATCGGATTTAAATGGCGGTAAAGTTATTGTTGGAAATTTAGTGGTAGTGGCGGAAAAGAAACTAGTTTGGTATACGTTACGAAATGTAACATTTGATATATCAGCTAATAAACAATAATGCCGATCCTCATTCTAACAGTGCCGCATGGTATTAATAGTGGCTATAATAATAGTTTTGTTGATTGGTTTAAGAAACATTGATTGTTTGTTGCAATGGAAATTAATATCAAAAAGTAGCGTGATCAATGGTTATATAAGCTAGCTAATTAGCGGGTTTGTTTGTTAGATTTTTGATTATTAATTATGTTTATTTGTTTTTGTTCATTTACATCCTCACATTATTATTATTTTTCTCGTGCATATTGTTTATATTATTATTTTTAAAAAAATTTTTTGCATGACGTAATTATAGGGTAGCACTCAATTAAATTATTATGTAAATTATTTTTATCATCTTGAACTCTAAAATAATGATTAAAAACATAAACTCTAATGCAATATCTCACGTTTTATCAATAATAAAAAATCCAAGATTAATTGTCCCTCATTTAATAGTAAAAGGTAAAATAATATATATTCAATAACATTAATATTGATAACAATAATAATAAATAATCGTAATGTTAACACTAATATATATATAGATATAAGAGAATTAAACTATGAAAAATTAAAGAAATCAGGTATAAATAAATTAATATTTGATAAAGATAACACATTAACTATTCCATATGAAAATTTATTATATCCGCCATTTAAGGTGAATGAAATTCAGAGATGGAAAAATGTTATTATTATTATATTATTATTTATTTATATCATTAATAGTTTTGTTTTGATTTATAAATCAGAAATCTTGGGATGAATGTAAAAATACTTTTGGTGTAGAAAATATTCTGATTATTTCAAATTCTGCTGGAACATTAAGTAAAGATCCCAATTTTGATCAGGTAATTATAATATATTATCAAGAGAGAGGGATGGATATGGGAAAAGGTGAATTATCATATTAACAAATTTGGCGAATTAATTAGGCAAAAGAAGTTGAAAAAAATTTTGGTTAGTTAAAGAAAATGTTGAAATGAATTTTGATTTTCGCTAATTATAAAATTAATCAAATCAATCAATTATTGATTGAGCATGCTAGGAGTGAAAGTTTTAAAACATAGATTAAAGGTATAATATTATAAACTATTTATCAAATAAATTCGTCAATTATTAACCAATAAATAAACCAATCAATTAATTGATAATTATAATAGAAACCAGATACAGGATCTGAACTTTCACCATATTTTAAATCATCGTCATCATCATTTAATGATAATAATAATAATCATTATTCAAATAAAAATGTGGCAGTAATTGGAGATAGATTATTAACCGATGTTTTGTTTGGTAATTTGAATGGAATGTTTACAATATTAACCAGAAAAGTTATCGACGAGCAAAAAGATGACAATTTAAATAATTTGATGAGAAATTTAGAATACAAGATATTAGATAATTTATTACTAAAATATGGATATAAACCAATTAATTGATTGATTGATCAATTATTTTATAACTAAAGAGATCAATAAAAACAAAATAATAATTATTAATAATGTCTTCGTCTTCTATGGTTATGAGGGCTATGAGGAGGATGTCTACGGAGCCAATCATCATAGTAATTATATCCATAATCATAATCAGTGTTCCACTCCCATTCTTCTCCATATTCGGGTTCGTCTAAATAGTCGTCATAGTCGTCATTGTCATCGTAGTCATCGAAACCATCGAAACCCTGTCTTGCGTGAAGAGTTGGACCACCACAAGCGGTTGCTATTTCTTCAGGATCACGTTTTATGAACTTGTAATTATCATGATTTTCCGTTGCACACTCATCTCCCGACAATGGTTCGGCAATATTTAAATTTGTGAAAAATGCAATAATCATTGTTGAAATGATCATAAATATTATTTTTCTTTTCATTATTATTAATTAATTGTTGTTTGAATTTTTTTTCTTGAGAAAAAAATAAGAGAATTATATACAGATTTTCTCTCCCTCCATTTTTTCAAAAAACCTTTTTTTGTTAAAATCATCGAAATCTTTTGATGCATTAAGAATAAATTAATAAAGTGGAAATGCATCATTCTTTTCTTTTTCTAATTTATTGATTATGATTTATTTTTTTGCATAATATATTAATTAATTAATTAATTAATTGATATATTTCCGCATGGTACTATCTTTAATATAATGGAGAATCTTGTAAATGACAAGAAACAAATTTCAGTTTGGATTTATTATTAATTGTGATTTTGGATTTAATAATCTTTTCGTCTCTATCTCTATCCATATTTCTATCTAAGCCCTCTCCGTTATTTAAATGCTTTATATCTCTAACTATATCTATACCTATATTTTTTCTGCTTGCATAATCTCTACTTCTGCTTCCCATATCTCCATCAAAATCATTTAAATCCAATTTACAATGTCTAACAATTCTATTTTGATTTTGTTTGCACCATGAAAAATCTTTGACAATTTCAAATTGTTTTCTATATTGCTGTTGTTCGCTAATGAAACTACCCCAATATAAACCATATTCTCTTCCGCTATTGCTTTTATTATTACTATTGCCACCATTACTAACCATAAGGTTAGATTTCCAGTAAAGATCATATTCATATAATAAATGTCTTGAAGCAAAAATCTTTGGTAAAATAATTTTAGGAAAAGTGTTACAATTAACTTTGTCGTCGTCATCTTTATGATATTTTTTTTGAAAAAATATTCTGGTAAATTCGTTGCTTCTTTTCTTTGAGATTGATTTCAATGTAATTTCGAAATTTACTGCCTCCGGAATTGATAAAAATCCAGTAATTACCAATATCGGAATCCAGTTTTGTTCATTACTACCGCTGTTATTACAATATAAATTATTCAACTTATTTATTCGATTCTAATGGATAAATAATTAGCTGGTTAGTGAAATTACGCGTAAAGTGATAAAATTTACACGAAAAAAAACAACAATAATAATATTTTTTACTTTTAGGTTATTGGTCGTTCCGACATAAACTTTCGATTTGCTAGAGTTCAACAGTAAATAAACACACAATTTTTTCTTCTTATTGTCGTTAGATTGATTACTAGGTTGGCTTTTAGGAACACTCATTTTTAAATTTTTTTTTTTTATTTCACAGAAATAAAAGTTTTTTTTTAGAAAAAAGTATAAATTAGAGTTTATTTATATAATAATAGCATTGAAAGTACAAGGAATATGAATGGTATACTTTGTTTTTTGATAAATTTATTTTTACATCAATGCAAATTAGCATCAAAACAACGAGTCCTATTCCCCATATTTAATTTATTCAAGAAAAACGATTTTCTATTCGTAAATTTTAAATTATTATTATTATGCATTGAATAATCATGGGAATTATAATTAGATTTCTTCAAATTAAAATTAATACATATAATAATAACGATTTGCATTTTATTCTAGAAGATTCAGCCAATTCTTAAAATAAATGCATAATGTATAATAATGATAAACAAATTAGGAATTGTCAACAACAACAATATCAAATCAACAAGTAATATTCATCGCAATATCTTTTAATATTCTGCTTCAAAACTTTGAAACTGGTAAAGATCATGCTCTGTTTCTAAATTACTTGCAAGTTTCTTCTTTTTACTATATTGGTGGTGATTTACTACACAATCAAACATTTCTCTTTCTTTGATCAAACATCCCTTATTCATTCATTGATCCATTCTTCTCACTCGCTCGCTCGCTCACTCGCCCGCTCGCTCACTCATTCATTCACTCATTCATTCATTGATCGTTTCTCCTCCTCAATCGATCAATCAATCAATTTCAGGGGCGATAAATATAGAAATAACCAATTCATTTGTATTTTCGGTGAACGTGAGTGAATATAAAATCGGCAGAACCCATGTATAAGAAAGGCATTAACCATCACTGTTATCATTTACCATTATTTTACCACCATTATTGCACTTGTAATTATCTGAATCAACCAATCCCGATAAAATATCTGTTGAATGATAATAAAAGATCAAGATGATAAATAAAAAGAATCCAAGATTATTCAAATCATTGACAAATATTTACTTATTTAACATAATATTTTTATATTACATACGTTTATAAATGTCTTACAAAAACAAAAAAAAATTTTTTTATTAATTAAAAATTAATTAAAAAATTTCCTGTTGTGTTTCAAAAATTCTCTTAGCAACTATTAGCACATTTAAAAAAACATTTAAATATTCTTTATTTCTTTATTTTTTCTTGTATATTTTTTCATCTCTTCCAAAATTTATTATCTGTAGTGAAACAAAGATCCGTGAGAAATTAAATTCTTATTATATAATATGCAAATAATATAACTTCACTTCCAAAAAAATAAAAAAGTCTCTTAAAATATATATTAAAGTTCCCTAATTTATATATTTCTTGATTATTCTTGATTTCTTTATTTAAAAAAATTTATATTTTTTTTTTTTTTCAAAATTTCCAAAATTTTCAAAATTAAAAAATTCTTTAAAAAAATGACAGATTACACTATGAAAATTAGTCCTAATCAGTCTCAAAGAGGTGGCGGCGGCGGCGGCACCACTACCTCTTCTAGTATCTCTACCTCTACCTCTACCACTACTTCTTCTTCTTCCTCAAACCATAACCATGAATATGTTCATTTTGACAGATCTACTGAAGGCTTTTCAAAAGGTGCTTTGGACAGATCAACTGCTGCAAAACTTAGACTAGAACATTTTTATAAAATTACCTTGGATCAAGCAAGAGAGCGTAACGAACGGTAAATAATTATAATAATATTGACGGGGGTTTTTGTGAAGATAATGGTTTAACATTCTTTTACCATTATAAATAAATAAATCTAATAAAATTAATAATAGTCTTAATGAAGCTGAAAAAAAGCTTGAGAACGAAGTTTGTTCGGAGGAGCGTAAAAACCGCCAATTAGTTTCACTTGGTCGTAAAGAATCACATTTTTTAAGATTAAAAAGAACAAGATTAGGTATCGAGGATTTCATCACTCTTAAAGTTATAGGTAAAGGTGCTTTTGGTGAGGTAAGATATCATCATCATCATCGTGTTGTTGTCGTTATTTTTATAATATGTATTGGTGTCATTGTTCATATTCAAATATCAATATAAATATAAGCATTTATATATATGTATTAATAATATTTTTTCAATTTATTTAGGTTCGATTAGTTCAAAAAGCTGACACTGCTAAAATATATGCTATGAAAACATTAAGAAAAGCCGAGATGTTTAAAAAAGATCAAGTATAATCCTTTAAGAAATAAATTCACCTCTTTAATTAATTGATTGATCAATCAATCAATTCATTTATTTGTTTTTCTCTCAATCAATTCTGATCGAATTTCTTGTTTCATATATAGTTGGCACATGTGAGATCTGAACGTGATGTTTTAGCCGAATGCGATTCTCCTTGGGTAGTTCAATTATACTACTCATTCCAAGATCCTTCGTATCTCTATCTTATCATGGAATTCTTGCCTGGTGGAGATTTAATGACTATGCTTATACAACATGACACATTTCGCGAAGACATAACGCGTTTCTATATCGCTGAATGTGTATTGGCTATCGAGGCTATTCACAAATTAGATTTCATTCATAGGTATTTGTTGCAAAGAAACTCAAATTTATTTATTTGATAAATCATTTTTCTTAAAAATAATAATTTTCCTTCAAATAATAGAGATATTAAGCCAGATAATATATTAATTGATAAGAATGGTCATATAAAATTATCTGATTTCGGACTTTCCACCGGTTTTCATCGAACTCATGATTCAGCTTACTACCAAAGACTTTTAGAAAATGCAAATAATTCTGCTGGTCATAGACCTCTAAATAGTGAACACAACATTAATCTAACATTATCTAACAAAGACAAAATTGCCACCTGGAAAAAAAACAGGAGAGCTCTGGTAATATTGAAGTTTTATACAATGAATATTATTATTACTTGTTTAATATTCATTAATATTAATTCCTGATTACTATATCGATCAATGTAGGCATATTCTACAGTTGGTACACCTGATTATATTGCACCTGAAATCTTTTTACAACAAGGGTATGGTAAAGAGTGTGATTGGTGGTCTTTAGGTGCCATCATGTATGAATGTCTTGTGGGCTGGGCTCCATTCTGTAGTGAGAGTGCTCATGAAACTTACCGTAAAATTATCAATTGGCGCGATCAATTTTATTTCCCAGAAGAAGTACATCTAAGTTATGAAGCTGAAGATTTAATCAAAAGGTAAATAAATGAATCTTTTGAGGCAGAAAAGAAAGTTTTTTGAAAATATATTGTATGTATGTAGTGCTAATTTCTATCTTTATCAGATTTATGTGTGATTCTGAAAATCGCTTGGGTCGTAATGGAGCTGATGAAATTAAAGCACATCCTTTCTTTGAAGGAGTAGACTGGGATACAATCCGTGATGTTGAGGCACCATTTATACCTGAATTGAAATCTATCACTGATACTAGATACTTTCCTACTGACGAACTTGATATTCCTGATAGACCTCCTATACCTGGTAAAAATAATAACAATATTTTTATTTTTATTTTACAATTAATTAATTATTAATCAATTATTATTTGTAGCTCCACCTGCTGCCACTAGTTCAAATGGTGACTATAATCAAAAAGATTTGGCATTTGTTGGTTACACATTTAAACGGTTTGATGATTTAACAAGACAAAATGCCATATGATTAAAATAAAATTTTTTTTATTCAACTATTTATAATAATTTGGTTATTTATATATATATTTACAAAGTATAATTTTATTAAATAAAAATTCAAATAAAATAAAATTTATTATTTATAAAAATAAAATTTTATGTATAGAAATTTAGATCATATATACATTTACACTTTCTTTAGATCATATATATTCATTTCTCTCATTCATACATATTATTCATAAATACACACTCATATTCATATTTCATTTCATCACATCACATCACATTGTTTACTTTAAATCATTAATTTCAACAATTCACTAATCGATTGATTGACTAATTAATAATAACTAATTAATTAATCAATTATTATGAATTTAGCATTCATTATATTATTTTATCTTTAATTATATTTTTATTGTTATCATTAATATTTAATTTTAATATATACGTTTCATTCATATAATCATTATTTAGACAAGTATTTCATCATGCATTATTATGTACTTTAATGTTGTTATCAAATGATTGATTCAATGATAATAAACAATAAACAATAATATACAAACTTTTTCATATAAAATTCTTCTTTGTCCTATATATTATATCATGTATATAAACCAATTCGTTTAATGCAAATGCTAGCTTAATGAATCGATCAGTTCTTCTTTCCTCTAACGTCACTAAAATTATCGAAATATATATTACATATATTTACACCTTCCTTGATGACTAATTGAATTTTTATTTTTAAATAACACGCTAATTGACATGACTAAAGTATTGATTGAATGAAGATAAAAGTCAAGTCTATATATCATCAATTGTCGACTATTTTGACAGTTGGATCAAAGTAAAAAAAACTTCTTTCACAAAATTATGATCCCCGATTTGGAAATCTTCAAAAAAGAAATTTTTAAAGAAATAAAGAATAATGAATGATGTTCAAGTATTGATAATTCATTGATTCATGGCAAGTTATATGATCCTCAGATTCATTATATGTAAAATTAGTTTATTTAATTTAATTTTTTAATTTGAATCTTGGTTCTGTTTTTTGATGGAGATTTCTACTTTTAATCAAGAAACTAATAATAAATATTCCATCAAAGATAGTGGTTAAAAAGATTTTTCTTGGCCAAAGTGAATCGCTATTTATGCAAAAATACAATAACAACAATAATAAATTTAATGGACAAGTTGTAATAGTAACATGTATTTTATCGAAATTTTCGGAATTTTATAACAATTGGTAAATTTGTTATTGATATCGAATATGCTTTTTTAAAAATGGATCGTCATACGAGGTGCTAGTATTTTAATGGAAACAAAAAAATCATTAGAATTGTCGAAACTTTGAATGAAGATAGTCAACGTAATAATATTTCTATTAACACAATGATAAATATTCGGATAAAAGAGATTCCAGAAATATATAACAAAAGGGTAGACTAGTGATAACAATAGATGAAATAATTAAAGCGCACAACTTGAAGCAAGATGTTATGATAATTATAATTATCTTCAATATAGAAAATATCGAAAAGATAAATGAAGATGGATTTGCAACCATATACAAATCTGCATGGATAAATGGTAGAAAATATCGAAATGCGTTAAAAAAATTGCATGTTTCTCAAAGTATTCAGAAGAATTTATAAAACGAAGTAGTAATTATAAAAAAAAACGCTATCAATTATTATTAAATGTGTTCTCTTATTAATGAATTAATACAAGATCCAATTACAAAAGAGTTATGAAGAAGGTCTTCAAAATTATTTATCTAAAAATTTAAAAATTTAATATGGGAAAATAAAATGAGACTCTTTATTATGTTATTAAAGGTTTAAAGCAAATTCAAAAAATTGTTCATATGATTTACACAGTGGCAATATTTTTTACAAGATGGTAGTCATTTTAGATTTATTACAGACTTGGGATTATCGATTCCAGCTAATCACGCATTAACCCCAAATAAAAATGTTATTATCGAGTACCGTCATATTTAGCTCATGTGGTGTTAATTGACAAACCATGCACAATGGATATATAGTTTTGGAAGATTGATGCCGGTAATCTCAATAGGACTACCACCTTTTAATAATTTGGCACACGATCAAGAACTTGTAATGAAGATATGTGAAGGAGCAAGTCAAACAATACCCCAAAACTTTATACACAGAGAGTCTCGGTTTAGCGGATAATTTGGTCAAAATTTCAAAATCCCGTTATACCGAAATTTAATTAGTGAATCCGTTATATCGAGAGAATTCATTATCGAAATTCACTGCTGTGTATTATGTTATCATGATTACCCTTTGATATTCAATTGTCATTAAATATTTCTAATTCATTAAATTATATGCATCCATTCATTCATTCATCCATTCATTCACTCATCTAAGCAAGATTAATTTCAATTGTCACCATTTTCATTAATTGGTGGTGATACGTGAATTAAATGTTTTTTAAATTTACACAAAAAGTATTATTACAGATTATCAACCTTTTATTTGTGCTACAGGAGATATTATTTAAATATATAAATAAAGTTAATCTAAAATTAACATAGTTTTAGTGTAAAGAATAAAGACTTACTACTACTGTATGGTGTGGGAATCGAAATAATTTTGTGATTTGATGATTTGTTGGTTTAAAAATAATTTCAACTTTTTGAAAAAGTTGGTTGTGGATAAATAATTTAAGCATTAATAGTTAAGCCAAAATGAGACAGTCAAACCTCATTTAAACGAATCTTGTTTCAAACGAATTATAATTATACAAAACATGATTAGTCTTAGTAATTAAAGTTAAATAGATATGTGTCCCCCCTTAATAGTAATAGATTAAGTGTTACGACAAGGATTTTATCCGTTTAGAGATTGGACTCGAAAGATTAATTTACTAATCAATAGTTGATCAAATTGACTAATTATGTTGAAAAGGATTTTTTACTCATTCAACGATTATATGAAATTGAAACCTAAAATATTGAGGATATGGAATTCTGATTGGCCAATTTGAATTTCACGTGCAAATTTTCAAATAAAAATTTTAAATGCACGTTTTGTGTAACGATTAATGATTGATTTGATTTTTTGACACAAAATTATTTTAGAAAAATAATCAATTTCGCTTGGCACAAACAATAATGAATATTCAAAAGCAAAAATATAATTTTTAATCAGTAACACTTTCATTTTCATTTATATTAATTTTGAACCTTTCCCAATCTATTTATTATTATGGTGGTGTTAATGGTTTTAAAGCCCCATCATAAAAATTGTTGGGTCTTACAATTTTTTTGCCTGCTTCAATGCTTTTCCCACGGCCTTTCAATAAATATTTTTTCAAGTCTTATTCCATATGGTCAACAAAGGTTCTTATATGTGTTAATTGATAAATTTGGTAGTTAAATTTAATATTATTATTAGTAGGGTTAATTAATCAATATCTAATAATCATACACATCTAATATTATAATAAGATTTTCTTGTTAAAGCTGGATTATTTCTTTTTTCATATTAAAAAGTATTCTCAACTTGTGTAATATATTCTTCATATTTAATATTATATGTCATATATTAATCTATATATACATGTTATAATAATTATGATGATTTATTTAGGCCTATTGTTAATATAATTGTTACTACTACTATTACTATTATTGCTGCTACCACTACTACTACCAATAATTAACTTCTGCTTCTTATTAATATGATGAGTGACTGAAATTCTATTTAAAATTTCATCTACAAATTTAAAAATGTCTGAATAAACAGTATATAATGTATCATTTAATGATAATTTACTAGAAACTATTTAACCATCAAAAAAAAAAAAGAATTAATTAGAAAGTTAATATAAATGGATAAATATAAATAGATATACTTGTGTTAATCACCTTTCAATTCTTTGTTGTAAAGATTTTTTTTGACTTTGTCCCAATAAGGATGATTTTTTGGTAATATTACCATTGCAGTCTATAAATAAAAGACATAAATAACAGATATATAAATAAAATACATAAAACATTATGTTATACACACCTTATTATACCAATGATGTAGTTCAAATTTTTTGGACGTTGAAGCTATATCAATTGTATGTCCTGGTATTAACACCAATCCTATTACTTTATCAATAACTTCAGTTTCTACATAAGTAAATTAAAATTAAAAAATTAAAAATTAAAAACAAAATTTTTTTATTTTATATGTATATGATTAGTAAAAGTTACCTCGACTTTGTATCAAATCTAATAAATTTTGACACCCTATTCCTGAACCAATTAAGAATAATTTTGAATCACTTAATCTATATTATATAAAATTAAGTTGTTAATTATTTAATTTTACTATTATCCAATATATATATATTTATTTATGTTTATATTACTCACAGCAAAAAATTGTCCCATATATATAATAATACTTCTTTAAAATTGATAAGATCAACTTTTGCATTCTAAAATAACAATGATAATTATTATTTTTGGGGATGAGAATAATTATAATTATAATAATAGTAAATAGTAATTTTACCATGTTTGGAGGCAAATCAATATCAATAAGTCCATACCCTCTGGCAATAATACTTCGGATATATTGATATGTTGTATCAACCTACATATAAATAAATAATAATGATGTAATACTAGATGAAGATAAAATTATAACATAAGAATATTATAAATCTATAAAATAATCACCATATATGATCCAGATACTTCAAATGAATTTGTCATTGCCATTGTATTAGCTCTAAGGAAAAAAATTTATATCATTTTAATAATAAAAAATATATAATTTTTTGGAAGGAAACAAGCAAAACAACAAACAGAAAAAATATTTGACAAACCTAAAATCAGCCCTTTTAAATCCAACCAACATATTGATAATTTAGGAAATAAAAAAAGTTAATAAATTTTAAAAGATAATAATATGTAAATATATATAATAATTAAACTTACATGTCATGAATAAAAATAAATACAGTTTTTTTTGACATAAAGTCTGGACTATATCATATAATATGAATATTATAAATATTGTGATAATAATAATAATGATCATGAATTCCCTCTTTTCTCTTGGCTTTTTTGGACTTACCTAGCATAAATTGTTTCAGAAAATTTGGATTTCATAACATCATCTCTTATTGGAAATGTTATGATTTTTAGTTTGTCAAATAAATAGTATTTTCGAAATATTTTCATCATTTCTAAAAAAAAGATATGTGTATTAGTAATTAAAATAATTATTATTTACTATCAATTAATTGATTACAATCAGGAATTTACCTGCCAAATCAACAATGCATTTACCAGGCATTCGTTCTACAAAAAAAAATTTTTTTTTTTCAATGTAAAAATTGATTTCTCAGCCAGTGAAATAATGAAAATAATAAAATTACCCTGATTGACATCATTATACTCAGGGACCAGACTTTTCCAATGTTTTGATTGAACACGTATAACTTGTTCTATAGTTTCTAAACATTCCCTCCTAGGTTTAATTGGTTCCATTTTGCCAGGTGATTCACCAAGTAATACTTTTACACAAGCCATTGCTGATTTAGATACAGATTCTAGATTGTACCCACCCTAAATTATATTGTGTGGAAGATGAGATGAGAATTAATTTATTGTCATCCATCTATTTATCCTTGATTCATAATCTATCTATATATCCCCATTTACCTCCAATATTAAAGCAATTTTTCCATTTGCCAATTTTTTCAACATGTCAGTCATATGAGCAAATCCTAATGGTGTTAAATTATTTTCACCAATTGGATCACCTATAATTTAAAATACATATTAATAATAATTAATAAATGTCTTTATATTCAAAAGCAAAAAAACTTAAATACCTGCAGCAGCATCAAATCCTGCAGAGACAATGACAATATCAGGTGAAAATTCATATGCTATGGGCATGACAACCTTATTAAAAGCATAAATATAATCACTATCATACATCCCATTACATGGCCATGGTATATTCACAGTTCTTCATAATATTGTTTAAATGACATAATAATGATTAAATTTATATGATAAAAAAGGCAATATGTTAAATAATGATAATAACTTACTTTCCTATAGCTTCACCCCCACCTGTAAACATAAAATTTGCTTCTTTATCACAAGGATAAAATGCTCCATCTTCATAAAGATGTAATGAACAATAAAGCACATTTGGATCATTATAAAAGGCCTTTTGTGTTCCATTTCCTAAATGAAAAAAATTATTTATTTGATGAATAGATCAAATTTACTTATAAATATGTATTTTTAATATAATTATTACCATGATGAACGTCCCTTTATATAAAATTCCCAAAAAGATGAGGTTAGTAGTGTATATTCCTAATATATACATATTCCTATTAAACAAATCTTACCAATCAAGAATCAGAATTTTCATGTTGTTGTGAAGTTTTGTTAAACATTTAGCAGCAACAGCCACACTATTGACAAAACAAAATCCCATTGCACAATTATGTTCAGCATGATGTCCTGGAGGTCTTATATTAGCAAATCCATTTGTTACAACTCCATTGGCAACAGCTTCACATAATTCTATTGCACCACCACAAGCAAGCTTTGCACATAATGCAGTGTCATTATTTACATATAAAGAGTTGCCATTATCTGTTAATGATTCCAATTCTTCCAAGTCCATTTTTTCAGTTTCCATTAGCCAATTCCAGTGATCAATAGTATGTACAAGACACACTTCTTTGCATGTAGCCTCTCGAGATTTTATGAGTTTCATTTTGTTATAACAACCAGATTGCTGCAAAATTTTTTGTATCCTAGCGGTCCTGGCAGGATCTTCAGGATGGTGATTATCTTCAAGAATGTTATTATGGAAACGCATTCGTGAATCATTAACTAGTCCTGTAATAGTCTCTTTGAAAGGTTGAATAGTATCAGTAGATGTTAGACCATTAATTATTGAATGAGGTTGATGTTGAAGGTGGTTTATCTGCTCTTGGGGTTGTTGTAGGTAAGAACTGTTGACTGCATCTATTTCCATAGTATCCATTTTTATTATTTATTATTTTTATTATTGTTGAATTTTTTCAAAGAAAGAAAAAAACAAAAAAGTCAACCAATTATATCAAAGAATTTGTGTAACCTAGTTTTATATAGGGAGACCCCAAATTAGTATAATTGAGGGCAGGACCTCGAAAACTATAGTAATAGGTGAGTTACTGCCGCAGTTGTCTAAATTCTGGACCTTTAAAAATATAGACTATAGTGCAGATCATCTATAACCATAGTAATAGTAACAATCAGCAACTTCAAATACTAAAACATACTAAAACAAAAAAATTAGTTAATCAAACTTATCAACTAGTCATTTCTTAAACTAAAAATTGGCTGAACCTATTTTGAAAATTCCAAATTAAGAAATTGAGACTAATTTTGTGTGACAAATTTTTTGATTTATTTTTATAAAATAATAATTATTATAAATTTGGTCATGTAGTTCAAAATATGGTAATACAAAAATTAGTGCCATATTTTTAAACATGTATGGAAGAGGTTATTATACAGTCAAGTATTTTACCAAATTTGGAATTTCTAAATACTGTAACGATTGGCATTCTAATTTTCACGTGACACTTGAAGAAAAATATGATTGGCTAAATTTTATACGTTGAAAAATAAAGTTACAGTCAAAGCTCTCTATACTGAACTCCCTTGGGCCGAGAAATTTCATCTGGTATAGAGAGCATTCATTATAGAGAAGTGTCAATCATTGACACATGATAATAATTTTTTTTAAAAATTCATTTTATTTATTAAGTTTTTTTAATTATTCATATAATTATCAATTTTTGCTTGTTCTTTTGAATTAAATTCAATATTTTTTATCAATATTCATTATCTGCTAGTCGTGATTTGTCTGATTGTTGTACAAAGTATAATTGACTTTTTCTAATGCCAACAAGGCACCTATCTTTATGTAATACAAGTGGAGGAGGAGTAGTAATCACTTCAGTGATATTATTATTAACACTTTTACCAATACTAATAAATTTTTAAATTCGGTAAAATTCAATTGTGATGCTAATCAAATATGGAAATCATATGCACACTGTTCAGTATAGAGAGTGCAATTTATATATATATATTTGCAAGGGGATTTCCCAAAGGCAGTTTGTTATACAGAATAGAGAATTTAATTATAAAGTTTGTTATACAGCAAATTTAATTAATAAAAAATCAGAACCAAAAGCTTGGTTTGTTATAGAGAGCAATTTGGTTCTTGGAGGTTCGGTATAGAGAGCTTAGACTGTATATTACTATTTAATAAAACTCTTGCCAGGTTTTTCAAAAAAAAAAGATGTTATTTCTCAATTGATATATCAATAGTTCAACTTATAATAAAATATTTGAAGGTGCTATCAAATAATTTAATCTTAGAAAATAGAAATAATATCATTGGAAATAAAATTTACAAAATTTCCTTACCAATTCTATGGGTACTCATACAGGCCAATTATATGTTCATATTAATATATAAATTATTACTGTCTATAATGGATTCTTCTTATAATAGACATTTTTCTTAAACCAAATAATCCATTATAAAGTGAATGAACTGTATCATTATTATATTAATATTAAAGATGTTGTATCAGACTATATTGTCATTCACCTCCTGATGGTCAATATATGGTGTTCTTGTAGGTCATGTATGTTGACTTGTTGCATGAGTGATAGCCACTTCAGAATCTAGATTTAGTCAAAAGGGAGTTGTTCCATAAGGAATAGCAATTGCCACAAATTCAGTACCATTTGTGTTCTTTCGAAGCCAATTAATGTTGCTTAACACTCATTGTTGTAGTTAATGAATACCTGCAAATATTAATGATTTTATTAAGCAAAACTGGTTGCATTTTTTCAAATAGAAAATCAAAGCAATTACCTCAATCAACACAGTAGGATGCGTAATCTGATAAATTTCTATCAGTATGGCTTTTATGGACATGAATTGACAATAAGCCAAATCTATTTTTTTGCAAAATTGGACTTTTGAAACCATATACCTATGTCAGATCGAAGTTCTTGATTACCAGTCATACATATAGTAATGGAACATGTCTACCAATTGGAATTTTGGCTCTTAATCAAAGCTTTGGTTTCAAAATGGACATCTTCCTTTACTCTACTGTTATCACGAATAGCACAAAAATCAGTGAGAGAATATATGAGAGACATGTAAGCCAAATTAATATTATCTTGATGAATAATTCCCTTAGCTTGAAAGCACCATGAATAGTTTCACATACATCAATATTAAGAAAGTTCATTCGCTGGGAAATTTATGCTTACAAAGTCTAAATCTTTCCCTTTCAGCTCTTGTTTGATTTTAGCACAAATCTATAAGAAAAAAAAAATAATCATTTGAGGACTATTTAAATGCCTTATCTTTAATCTATTATTTGCGCACAAGGATCCTGATTATTAATTCAATTAGTCAATCAATCACCATTTGGGATGGGACAGCAGAAGCCAATTAGAGTTAATGATGCTAATATAGTAATCACAACATAGGATTCAGAATCTTTATGATTGATATCTTCATTTTTTAAAAAATACAGTTTTTCGAGTTTTTGTGTCAAGGTCATCAGAACATTTTACTGGTATCAGTCAAACGAGGAGGATCTTGGAAACTACATTCGAGAATAAACATTTATTATTATTATTATCGTTGTTGTTATGCAGCAATTAAATATAAAGCGATACTTTAATAGTTCATTACGAAGGGTTGGTTGAGTCATACTAATATGCATTGAATAAATGGTATACTAATAATGTCTTTCGAATAAATCCCAATCGGGCAAAATTTAAAGATTTCCAGGAGGTCCGGTTTTTGACCAATATGATTTTACCGTAGAATTTTTTCAAAATTGCATTAGTTAAAAATATCACTCGAAACAATTCTAAGATGCCATGCTTTAACACAACTTGAATCTATTTTACGAATGCAAATTTTTTATAAAGATTGGTCAAATATTTGTTGGGAATTGATGCAAAATTTTTGTGCAGCATTGCACACAGTAATTCAATTCAATTATTCAGTATTTTTGTCGGGGTTTTTTTTAATCAATTACAGCTTGAACACTTTGTGGTGAGCTTTCTATAAAATGTTATCTAAAGTAATGAATGGCATAATAATATTTTACTTTTTTTTTTTACGTTTGCATCAATTCTTAGCCAATCTTTAAATTTCGCATAACAGGTTTATAGATTTATTAGTATTGGTATTCAAGTTGTGTTAAAGAATGGCATCTTATATTAACTTCAAGTCTTTTAAACTATCGATATTTAAGATGTTATACAAACCGTTCAATGGGTTTTTTTTATTATTATTTTTTAGGCACAATAAATTAAATAATAAATAAATAATAATAAATAATATTTTTCCGGAAATAAGCGACAATTTTTTAACTGAAAAGTTGCTTACTACTGGAGGTTTATTATAAAAAATAAACATTGTTCGAATACCATATGATTTTTAATAAAATTCTTTTTAGAAAATGTCGTTGATGTGGTGTTTAAGTTCCTCTTATTTGAAAGTTTTACGTATAGTCAGCAGATTGTATGTCATAAAATCCTTCACTGTTATCAAAATTTTCTTCGAACCCCAGTCCAGCTATGAATGAAAAATTAATAAAAATAAAATCATAAAGGATAGATAAATGAACAAGCAGATCAATTTTCTTACCCCTAGCAGCAAAAGCTGCTGATATACATAAATTAACAATTGCAGAATCTTGCTTAGTTTTTAAAAATAAATCCTTTTTTGTTTTGTTTTGTTCATTGTTGCCAACCCTCCTTAGTTTTCTTTTGAATTCGGCTGATTTGATATTCTCGTTGTTATATTTATTATTTGTAAGATATCTATTCAAACAATTCACGATTTGACTTGCAGTTGGTCTTTCAGTGGGATCAGGATGCCAGCATCGTTCCATCAATTCGGCATAAAAATCTGGTGT